ATTCCTGCTTTGGTCTCAATTAGCTTCTGGCTTATATCACTTCTTTACAACAGCTGGCTTGGCACAACATGATTGAATTAATTGCATAACATTGCAAGTAAGTGGTCAAAATAAAACGCATTATAACTCCACTTCAAGACTTGATGTTTCTCAAAGCAGAGTTACAAACAGCACAGGCTATTTTTTCAGAACAGCAATGTGGTCTTTCACTGTCATTCCACTATTTGAGGCATAACAGCTTTTCAGAATTTTACAGGACAGGAAAAGTTGTTTCACACTAAAAGCAACATGCAGGTGCTTCACATCACAATGCAAATGAGACAAAAAAATCTGTTTCATGAGAGACAGTTCTGAAAGCAACAAACTCCTTCACTCTCAGCTTCTTTCTCCAGTCCTATCCATCTCCTGCCCTACCTCATCTGCTCCCTGCCAACTGGCAGCACTGTTGGACTACAATGACTAAAAAAATCACAAAGGGCTGCCACAGATGCTGTTGGGCATGACAGACCCAGAAGATGTGCACCAGTAAGAACCATTTATGCATAATATTTCATTTGAGAAGGCCCTAAAAAAATGTCTGGATGTCAACTGGGACCAGCAGGCTCTACTGGGACCACATTAAAGGGCATTAATATCAAATTTCAAGGCTTGGATGAGTATCCTTTGCCCAGTTTAGCCTTTGACACTCTTCAAGATCAGCCCAGTTCCAAACAGCCCCTCGAGCACACATCACTCGCAGAGACTGTCAGAACTAAGATTGTCTGAACATATGTGAACAGTCACCCCCCATTTGGGAACAGACAGCACACTCATTCTCCTTACCTTGGCTAATCCTCACACGCTTCTTTCAATTTGCTGCATGCAGATGAGCTTCCACGCCACCAACGGATACATTTTACAGCTGTTATGTGAACTCTAGTTTGGGAAACTGCTTGCAAAAAGCACTACACTACAAGTAATTGTAAAGTGATGAAGACTTCACTGCATTTATTACCAGGCACAAGAAAACCCAAGACAGCAGTACAGAAACCCAAAGCAATGCTTCAGAGAGCAAGCAGCTCAGTTCACCTCTTTGGTTTTTGCTGGTACTTTGAAGCTTTGGTATTGCAAGATCAAAACAGGACAGAAGGAATGCCATGCAACTCCCCTACTTACTCTTCAAACATATGGGCTGTTCCGAGCTGCTCCATCATGGAACAGAATCGTTTCTCTTCATCATCCACTGGGTCCAAGTCATCTGACCAGCCGGATTCAAAGGTCTCCTCGTGTCTGGAGTGATCCGTTCTCCCAGCCCCTTGACACAATTCAATCCCTATTAACTTTCCTGGTGGAAGGAGAAGGGAAGAAGAAAAAAAGTAAAATTTGATGTAATTTAATAAACTGCTATTGAAAGATAGCAGCTCAACAGTGCTCCATGAGAACATGCCTGCACACCAGTGGTGTAGAATACAGCTCCTGGTCAGTAAAGAACCTCTGACGTCCTGAGTGATGTCAGTGAACAATCTGCAATGCTGGGACTGAAACTGGCTCACAGCCCAACAACAGGCTGTTAAGGCTCAGCTCACATCTGCGTGAAGATGACCTACCCCCCATGGCCTTGGATTGTCAGCATATGAAGCATGTGGCATGAGGTCACTTCACTCTTACGGAGCAGTGCCGTGGGTTCAGTTCCCAATGATTCCACAAGTTCCCTCTGGGTCTGCAGGCCCAGCACTGAATAGCACCCTGCCTCGTGTCCCCAGCTTAAAAACAGTGAGGAGAAGATCATTATTCTTCCTTTCTCATGTGCTACATCTGTTGTGATTTAAGTGCTGTGGGACTAAGATTGCTTCTTGCTAGAATTATGTAGTGTCTGAAGAAAATGAACTTACCCTTCAGTCACCCCCTCCTGCCCCATCCCAAATATGGATGGATGGCTTCCAGCTATCTGGATCCTTTTTCATGATGAGACACAAATGTGATGAGAACTTCATGCTATGCAAGGCATGTAACAAATACTGGTGCTGGAACAAATTCTTCTAAAAGCAACAAATCAAGCCTTCCTGTCCAAAACACAAGCCCCTGTCCTGTATACAGAGATCAGTATACAGTAGCTCCCGTAGCAGCTACTCTTCCTTTCAAAATATATCTGCTTGGTTCTACAGGGCCTGGAGCCAAGGATGTTCAGAGCACAGATGAGAATATGAAGCTACTCTGAGGGGAAAAATATCCACTATTTGTGTACCTCAAGTCAATTAACCACTTCTCAGCTCCATATGTCCAGAACCTAGCTGCTTCCCTCCCCATTCAATAAATGTGCTGTAAAAAAATCTTACAGTGTGGAGATACAGGCCCTACTCAGCTTAAAACCTGAAGCTCAAACAGTTTATTAAGGAAATGGGCTTACACTAGGCACTTTGGATGTCTGTTTTTAAGAAAGAATCATTATCTCTTGTTACCTCTCTTTTACAGCTGGGAAAATTGAGGTAGAGAATGATCTGAAGATGGTTCTGACATCCTAGAAGGATCTCAGATTGCTTGAAACTGAACATTTTAAATGTATGCTCTCTTGTCAGTTGTGCAGATGCAACCTCTCAGAGCTCACACATTGGACCCTCTCAAGAAGCAGAGTTGATTGCAGCTTGAACCATTTCTTTTGATTTTCCCCCTGCACACTTCAGAAAGACAGCAATATGCCAGGTCAAACTCTTGAGTTAGGGGCAAAGTCTGAAAAGGATTTCAGTGCAGCCAGATACAAAGAAAAACCATGAAGAAAAGAAATGCAGAAATTAAGTGTTTTGCCTAGACTGGATCAAGTCCCATGGAGCCAGGCTACCAACACTAGCAACTGACAACTGCTGGCTGATGGAGAAATCTTGCCTACCTCTGCCAGCAATGACAGTGAGGCAGGTACCCTCATGATGTCCATCTATGGCTATGGCTAGGAAAAATCCCTCAAACAATGAGATCTGGGAATAGCCAAGTCATAACACAGAGGTCACTGTGGATGCCAAGATGCCCAAATGTCACCCATTCACCTTCCACACAGCACTGAGCAGGAAAGCCCATGCTCCCCAAATTACTTTTGTTTCTGGCAAAGGCAACAGAACCAGTCTACAAGGCTTCAACCCTGCAGGCAGATACACAAGGCAGAAACAGGCACAGTCAGGGATACTCAGTGTATTAACACATTCCCAGAACAGGCTGGCCCAAAACCACAGCTTTTCATGTTTATTCCTAGGAAATCTTTACAGATTCTCCTTTCAGTCCTGGCTGTTTCTGGCTATTCAAATTGGAGATCCTCCCTCTCTAAGTTGTGTCCTGAGCAATCAGGACACTGCAACTCAAAAGCCTCCTCAACCACTTCTGAAAACCCAAGACCACCTGTGTTCAGTTGCTTTGACCTGATCGCATTAACACATCTACACGTCCAGGGAAGGTGCTAACAGGGTACAGATTTTCTGAGTGTTTACAAGTAGCTAAGAGAAGTAAGCACCCATAGCAAAGGTTATTAGTGCTATGGTTGTTCCTCCCCCTTTAACACCTCTTGCACTGCTTGTGCTGCTGGATTATGGCTCTAGTATAGGATTAGTATCCTATTGTTTGGGAAAGGCAACAGCAAAACAGCAAGAGGAAAACAGAAGCTCATTTGCCAGTGCACTAGCCTACTAACAGGACTGCTACTAATATCCTTGAACAGCACTGCAGAAAACAGCTGGAGACAGTTGCCAATAGGCGTATTTCTATCCCCTCATCCAATGAGGGTCCTTATCCAGATGAACAACTGCAGATCCAGATACAGGCTACAGCATGTACCATGTCCAGCAGGAGATGTTCAGAAGCTGCCTGTACCAGGTAGGCAGGTGACATTTATGGAAGAAGGCAACACAAAGCCTCATGAAGGAGGATAGCAGCATTGCACACACATCTTCTCTGATGATATTTACATAAGCATGGGACATTGTCCTGCATAGCTGGTACAGCTTCAGCAGAACCACTGCACTTTCTTTCTTACCCACATAAAACATCACATCACACCACATGTGGGCTTTTTCCTTCCTTTGCTTCCTTGCAGACCTTACCTAGTCCCATGCTGAACTCCACAGGCGTCAGGTATCCATTATTGTTTTGTTCCAAGCTGTCAAAAACCGTCTCCAGCTGTTCCCGGGTCAGGGGGAGTTCAGTCTGGAGCCGCTAAAGAGGCAACAGAATGGACAAAATTGAGACATGACTCAAACCTTCTCTGCTGTCCCCAGCTTTGGCCCACAGCAACGTGCCCATTCAGCACAGCACACTGGCCAGGCTGCGACAGCCTGCCAGGAGGCAGGGTACTGTACAGCTGAGCGATGACAAAAATGCCCCTTTGGACCCAATGATATGGCAATGATTTCCACTATTGGACTATTCAACCAGGACTGCATTTTGTTTGTAGGGAGCTCAGGTCTCTTCCTCCCCGCTTCAGAAAGCAGTTTAGTTCACTGCCTGCCTCCACCCACCCCTGCCCAAAGGTGGCTGCCCCTCAGCTGTGCTCTACTGCAAGCTTTTTGTGACCACTGCTGGTAACACTGACCACTATGGGCACGTTAGGTACCAGCTCCACCTCTTTGGCCACAGAAGGAGGACAGACATGTGGGTGTCTGGATTCAGTTTCCAGCTCTTGCAGGAAATCCTGCAGATCATAAACAAAGTGTTCAGCCCATAACACAGAGTTAGCTTTCTTCTTTCATCTTCTGCCTGTTAGGACTGTATCACTATTCCCACAACACAGACAAGGAACGGAGAGATTTCCCTTCATAATACAAGTGTAGAGCACCTAGCGTGAAGGTGGAGAAGTTTACAGATAACAAGCTGTAGACTAAAACCTCATTACTATTTGTTAAACATGCAGCTTTAGATAAAAGCTTAATAAATATTTATTAATGTAACTGTACAAAAATAGGCTACACACAAGCAAAAAAAAAGTCATTAATTAAACCAACACAGACCTGCCAAATGTTTATTATACATAGAGGAAGAGATGAGGCAGAAGAATAACAATCTGCATATAGCCTTCCTGATAAACAATTAAAACTCTCAAAGAACTACAAAAATTTTGTTAACAAATACTGTTTTTAATAAAAAGTAACAAAGCACATTATTGTAGAGCAAAATTAACAGTTCAGGCCTAAAGCGAGTTTTTGAGATCAGGCATTAGCTATGATTGAGATAAAAAAGTTATACAGTTTTTTTTGTTAAGAAGTTGGTTGATTTTTTTCAATGTAGGCTACTCTAAGGGGGGTTGTTTTGTTATTTTTTGGTTTTAACTTATACCACAGATTCCCCCACCTCCCCCTGATTTTCCATCCACTCTATGCTTAACATTTGTAGGAACCACTGAAATTGATTTTTATTTTATGTATTCCTTAAGAAATTGGAATCGCAGTCCCACTTGTTCCAGGAATTCCCTGGAGGTCAAAGGCCCTACTAGGATTTTTGTTTCATAGCAGCTGGCTCTGGCAGAGTTTGGCTGCCCCAAATCTGACTGAGACAGAGCCCATGTGCACACCCACACTTGCCAAAAGCGAAGACATGCCACATTCCCCCCTCTTCTGCCACCCATGACTTTATAACTCCTTCCAGGAAAGGAGAAGGATTTTTTTCCCTCACCTGCATGTCCACCTTGGTGATAAAACCCTTCTCATCCTTGTCACACAGCTGGAAGAGCTCCCTTGCCTTCTCAAGCATCTCCACCTGCATATCTTCCAATTCACTCATTTGGCTGGAATGAGAAGCACTGGGAGCTACCCCATCTTCCTCACCCCTTTCCTCTTCTCCTTCCCAGCGGATGTATCCCAAGAGTGCTTCCCTCTCTTTCTCCATCCTCTCAAAGCTTTTTGCCTCAGGGCAGGGGCAAACAGAAGAGCTGTGGGGCAGGAAACAGAGAAATTGCAGTCAAATGCAACCTTCCACTTCCACCCCATACATCTAGTTACATGCCTTGTTGATTTGAAAGAAAAATATTCAGCATATGTATCTGTTACCAAGGGGAGGGGGTGAAAACAGACAGTGTGCACAGAGTTTGTGTCAGAGGTATACATCATACATAGGTACACATTGTGCACAACATGGACATAACCAAGCCTACCATACAGCTGTAACCCTGCACACTCTGATGGGCTCCAGACCCCGCACCAAGAAACAATCTTCTTTTGTAATGTCTCCTCTTCAGGCTTAGACCTACAGTCAGAGTTCCCTACTGGTGAAAGCCAAGGGAAGGTTACAGTGAAGATGAGAGGATAGGAATGTAATTTAAAGCATGTAGGTAATCCTGCATGGGAGCACAGTGATAGTCCCACATTAACTGAGACAGAGGGCTGTGAGCATGGCCAGTTCCCAGCTCTCACACAGCCCCCTGGGTGCCCTGACCAGGATGCTTCTTTCTGGTCTTGGCTTCTCTAGTAGTAACATGTGCTTTTCCTTCTCTTGCTTTTCTGCAGTCTCTGAACACCAAACCTGCATCACAACTGCAAGAACCCAGAGAAGGACAAAGGCAGAGAGGACAAAGATCTGTGTAAGGCTGGAGGAATGAGAAGAAGGAATGTTTCTCCAGCCCTCTACCTCTCAGGTCCCCTGGCTGGCCTTTCACCTCTGACATTTTTTTCATAATGCTTCCCTAATAGTAACTCCCTTTCCTTTTATGTTATTACAGCACACACACAGAATAATAATAATAAAAAAAACCCCAGACAATTCCTACAATGGGAAAAATTTAATAAGCTGGGGCAATCCTGCTCCCCTTGCCTCCCAGTCTCTGTTTTGAGAGCTTATAAGCAGCCAAACAGAATTTTAATCTGAAACATTCACCTTTATAGGAAGGAAACCACACAACTATAGAGACATTTCAGAAGCCAAAGAAAATAATTCCCATTACTTACAAGTACCTTAAACAAAAAGGCTAGGAATGAGAGCACTCCCTTAAGCACAGCACTGTGGTTGTAAAGATGCATACAACACATTCTTACCTCAACCCACCTTCTGACCTGCTGCCATGTAACACTCCCCAGCTTTTCCTCAGCAACACTGCCACATTTTTAAAGCCTTGTTGTTCTGATGGCCTTAGACTTATTCTGCAGATCTGTGTGCTGCATTGCAGGGCAGAAGTGAGCTGTGTAAGCAGGCTGAGAGCAGATTTAAACAGTACTAGACAAAGAGGACTTGAGGGTTGGCTTTGATTTTTTTTAATCTCCAAGAAATTAAAAGCCACATACAGATTCTGCGACAACAAAGAAGTTAAATCTGTTTGCACTCTTAGTACAGCAAGAGGATAAAGAGCATGACGGCCAAGAAGAATGTCACACGTGAGAACTATATGCAGCTGACACAAAAGGAGAAGGCAACTACACTCCATGCTATTTGACTAACTGCTGGTTCATGAGACAGAGGGTGGTTCTGCTTCAAAGAACAAGCAGATTGTTTCACTCCCCCTTTCATATCAGTGTTTTTTTCAGGGCATCTCCATTTAGCATCACTTGAGAAGATACTTATCCAAAACTATGCAGAAAACTACCTATAAATGGTTATGTTTCTAATCAAGCATACATCCTGGCAAGCAATGGACACAGAGCTGGCACCAATCTTTGGGGAATACTGTACAGGAAAGGAGGGAAGAAAGCATGACAAGCTAGAAGGCTGGGGGTGTCTTTCTCTCTTGCTCTTTTTCAAACAAACCCTCTTACCAAGCTTTTGTGTGTGTGTGTTATGGAGGCAACACAAAAAACCTGGGAGACTAAAGGTCCATTCTGTCCATCGCTTCTGATGGCAAGTCATACATGTTAGTAGTAAAGAGGTCAAAAGAACCCAACCTGACTTTTCACATTCAAGGAAAAATTGCACATCTAGCCTTGAAAGAAAAAAATAATAATAAAAAAATCCAAGTATCTTACACTGCATAGATTTTACAGGTGATTACCACATAGCCACACTTGACGAATGAGAATAATTGGCTGCTACAGGCCACCTTGGTGAAGCTTTGTGCCAGACCCTTTCCTTCTACAAAGGCACAGTCTCAGCACAAGCAGCACCCTGTACCAGAAGGTGAGCGCAAATGGCAGCAGGAGAGGAAACATGAGTTCAATGCAAGAGCCATGACAGGATTGCAGAAAATAGCCAGAATAAGAAAAAGTGCAAATGAGTAAGCTTCTCAAACATCCTTCTAGAGGCTTGAGAGAGATTGAGGTCCTCAGAAGTAAAGAAGATCTTACTTTCATGTTAGCAGCTTCATAGTTTCTATTTCCAAAGCCAGGGCAGCATACTCAGACATTCCCCAGCTCTGCTGTACCAAACAAGATTATACAATGAAAATGTTCTGTTTTCTCTTGAAGACATATTTGCAAGCTGAAATCAGACCCATTGCATCACTAATTCCAGAATCTCCTCATTTTAGAAGAAGTCCAGCTGTACTGTAGCTCTCAAGCTCCCAAACACTGGCTGAGCTAAAAGCTTCTTAACTAAAAGAGCTGGAAGCCTGTCATGAACAGGAGTCTGAAAGGATTTCACTCATTTGTAAAAGATTAAGCCTATTAATTAAATGTTCAGAGTGCAGAGTCTCTTGTCCAAACCATTTTAAGCCAGATGTGGCTCTGTCATTGGTAAGACAGTACATGTAGAGGACCAAAGTGTCAAATAAGAGAGAGTCCCAGTAAGCAAAATACACTACAGCTCTGATGGACTTGCCCAGAGTAATTGTGGATGCCCCCTCCATGGAAGCATTCAGAGCCAGGCTGGATGGAGCTTTGAGCAACTTGGTCTAGTGAAAGACGTTCCTACTTGTGAAAGATGTTCCTACCCATGGCAGAGGGCTTGGAATGATATGATCTTCAAGGTCCCTTCCAATCCAAACCATTCTATGGTTCTGTGACTTCTCTCTCAGAGGTCTTTGACTGAGAAGCTCTCTATCTCCATCCCTGTTTGTAATGGCATCATCACCTAATATAAAAGTGGAGAAAGCACAAACCATATCTCAGTCTAACAAGTGCTGTCCTACCATCTCCAGTTAACAGGTCACCGCTGGAAACCACTGGAGAAATAGCTTCATCAGCAAGATGTAGAACATCCCTGAAGGACAACTTTGAAAGAGGCTGAGGTCACTACAGTAGTAAAACTGAGGCTAACAGAGCTGGCTTTGGTGCAGAAAGATCAGCGTGGGAAGAGTTATGCTTGCCTGACACAAGTGGAGAATACAAAGAAGATAGTTATGGGCATCTAATGTTTTTGGTCAGGCAAAGGGTCCTCCAGCTAGATGTAGCCAAGCCACTTCCAGTGGCAAAGTCAGGGATCATTACCAAAACTTCCTGACAAGATTGATTTTTTCAGGAATGTTCTACCAGGACAAGGTAGTCATTGAGTCAGCACCAGTTAAGATTTTCCATACCTAGCCTGGAGTCAGGACAATCTCTGTATCTTGGGCTGTTGATTTACATCATAAGAATATCCACAAGGGGTCACAGCACAGTGCATCTAGCCCAGCATCTTTCCCTTAACAGTGGCCAAGAATGACTGGTGAGGGAAGAGAAGGCTTATAGAATCATAGAATGGTTAAGGTTTGAAGGGACCTTAAAGATCATCTATTTGCCACCTCCCTGCTATGAACAGGGACACCTCACACTAGACCAGGCTGCACAAAGGATCATCCAACCTGGCCTTAAACACCTCAGGGGGGGGCATCACCAATCTCCCTAGGCAACCTATTCTGGTGCCTTACTACCCTCATGGTGAAGAATTTCTTCCTAATATCTAGTTTGAATCTACCCTCTTTCCATTTGGAACAATTACCCCTTGTCCTGTCACTGCACTCTCTGATGAGAAGTTTCTCCCCATCTTTCATGTAGGCTCCCTTTAAGTATTGGAAGGCAACTATAAGGTCTCCCCAAAGCCTTCTCTTCTCCAGGCCCAAAATCTCTCAGCCTATCTTCATAGCAGAGGTGTGCAGGGCACTGATCATGTTCTTGATGCGTATTCTGAAGAAGAGGTCTGATTCCATGCAGGAGAGAACACTACACAAAGAGGAGATGAAGTGTTGGGGCTAGGGATCCCTGCAGCAGTCTTCTCAGACACAGCATAGAACAGGAAATTGAACTGCCAGTAAAGACAGTTGACACCAGGTCTTGCATTTCTACACAGTGGTAACTCAGACTAGTTTTGCGAGCATATTTTAGCCACCTGAGGCATAAACTGCAGTTTGTTCTGTGCCATGAAGTCAGCTGGATCCAATGGGCATGGCATTCTTCAGGGAAATCACAAGACCTGAGTTTTAATCCTGACTCAGATTGCCATATGGGCAAGTCATATCACCCGCCCACACTTACAGATTGTCAGCACCTCTAATTTGATTGTGATGCTTTTGACAGCTGGCACTTTATTTTAAGACTTGGTGTCTGGAGACTGATAACAACATGTGAAACTGAAGCATCAAAATAGTTCGAAGCATCAAAATAGTTCAAAGCCTCTAAATTGAAGAATGAAACATTTGAACACAGAACTTGAAGAAAATGCAAATTTCAACAAACAGAAGAAGAGACTCAAGGTGCTTTTCCTGGAAGGGGGAGATACTATTTACAAGGTAGCATTACAGTGTCATGGTTCCAATTTATTATCTCAGAAAGCTTCTTTTTGTAGCAGTAAGCAGTGTTAAAGAGGTAAAGGAAAGTAATGGCTAAAATGCTATCAGCTGCCAAGCCCTTATCTATGTGACCGTGACCACTGTATGCATGTGACAACTTTGGATTATTATTTTTTTTTCCACAGCCTGATGACAAGGAGGGTCAGAAAGTGGGGAGTACAGCCAAGTTTTCCTGAGCTGGCCCTCAAATGACCCCCAGTCACCGCAGGGCATTTTACCCGCATTGAATATACAGCAG